TATAATAATTTTCTATATTTATGTACACTTTCATTCCAATTTTGTCATATTTAAAAAAATTTATTTTAAGTCTCTTCTGCTCACCGAGGCTGCATTTATTAGTTAAAAATACAGTAAAATTGTAAAATATTTTTACAATTTAAAATAGCTGTTTTCTATGTGAATGTATCTAAAAATATAATTTATTTCTGTGATGCGCAGCTGAATTTTTTTCAGTTTTCAGTGTCACATGATCTTCAGAAATCATTCTAATATGCTGATTTGCTGCTCAAGAAACATTTCTGATTATTATCAATGTTGAAAACAGTTGTGCCGCCCAATATTTGTGTGGAACTCATGATGCATTTTATTTTTCCAGGATTCACAGATGAATAGAAAGTTCAAAAGAACAGCATTTATTTGAAATAGAAATCTTTGGTCACATTGTAAATGTCTTTACTGTCACTTTAGATCAATTTAATGCATCTTTGCTGAATAAAAATATTAATTTCTTTAAAAAAAAAAAATACTGTACTTGAACAGTAGTGCATATATTTTTGTAATTATTTTTCAGCCAAAATGTACAGTTTTTTTTTTTATTTCACTCAAAATAATGTAATTTTGAGTTTTATGTCACTTTAGATCAATTATATGCATCTTTGCTGAATAAAAATATTAATTTCTTTAAAAAAAAAAAATACTGTACTTGAACAGTAGTGCATATATTTTTGTAATTATTTTTCAGCCAAAATGTACAGTTTTTTTTTTTATTTCACTCAAAATAATGTAATTTTGAGTTTTATATGGGGAGTTCACCCATGTACTGTAAAAAATAAAGTACATTTGTCATCATTTACTCACCCTTATGTTAAATCATATAGGAGTGAAATGACATGAGAATAGATAAGTGAAAAATGTTTCATTTTGGGGCGGAGATAAATCTAGTTAAACCTTGCTAATTGACTAATCGGTCGTGATCGTAATGCGTCGTCTTGTTTCCTCACTCATTCGTCTGTCATCCATCAGTTCCTGAAGCTCCCGTATGCTGATAAAAGCGGGGTTTCCTGCCATTATTGTGCCGTGTGTGGGAGTGGAAGTGTTTTAATGGGCTCTTCTGCATCCGTGGATGTATTGAAAGCATGTCCTTGGAGTTGTTTTGGGTCACCGAGGGTCACGTCTCCTCATTTGAGCCAGAATGGTGTCAGATCCTGCTGGTTTTCCTCTCTGCGGTTGTGGGTGAGTGTGTGTTTGTGTTAACCGGGCGAAGCAGACCCAGCCTCCTGCGCTCTGATTGGCCCTCGTGCGGACTGGCCCTCGCTCTGATTGGCTGTCGGGTCTGTGTGGGTGGGTGGGGCTAGCAAGGTTTGAAACAGGAAATGAAGAAAGGTTTGTGCGATGAGGAGGGAGTCGCTCTGTGGGATATTCCTCTGTCATTCGGACTTCGGACGGTAAGAGCACTTCAAATGAAACAGGAATAGTCAGGAATGTGAGTGTGTGTGTTAATGTTTCAGTCAGCTCACACACTCACTGGGAGGCTGAAGTGTGTGTGTGTGTGTGTGTGTGACTCGAGGGAGTGTGTTTGGACGTCAAACTAATCCAGCATATCCTAATCTTCTTGTTTTATGTGGATTTTTTTTTCTTGTGAAGTGTTTGAGAAATAGCGCACTTGTTAAATGTGAACTCCAATATAAAGCACGTGCAAAAGCGTATTTGTTTGAGACTAATGCAAGGATGTGTTTAAGGTTGAAATGGGAGGTTGTTTGTTCCTCAGAACCAGTCTGATGACTTTTTACTTTTTCTTTGTGCTGATTTTGTGGTAAAGTCATGGTAAACGTGATAAACAGAGCTGATAGTACTACACCTTAACTGGTAGATTCAATTATAGTTGAATTTTGTGCTCATTTTTCAATAGATCTAATTGTTTTGTGGGCTTTTTCTTGTTAAGTGCACTTATTGGCAGGCTTATTGACTTCACATTTTCTTTGCTTTTCTGTGGTAAAGTTCTGGTAAAATGTGTTAAGCAGAGCAGATAGTGCTACACTTTTACTGGTAGGTTAAATTATAGGCTTTTTCTTGTCAAGGGTTTGTGGAATAGAGAACTTATTGACGGGCTTAAATGTGAATTCAAATACAAAAAGTTTAAAGCACATACATAAGAGTGTTTGTTTAAAGCTAAGCTGTAAAAGAATGGATGGACACGTTTAAGGTTGAAATGAGAGGTTGTTTGTTAGAAAATGGAATTTTGTAAGGCATGTTTTTTGATAAAATTATAAGCAAGTCTTTTTTCCTCACCAAGGCTGCATTTATTTGAACAAAAATACAATTGAAAACAACAAAAATTTGAAATATTATTGCGATTTAAAATAGCTGATTTCTATGTGAATATCTGTTAAAATGTAATATATTCTTGTGATGCAGCGCTGAATTTTCAGCATCATTCCTCCAGTCTTCAGTGTCACATGATCCCCAGAAATCAGTCTAATATCATTTGCTGCTCAAGAAACATTTCTGATTATTATCAATGTTGAAAACAGTCGTGCTGCCCGAATATATATATATATATATATTTATTTATTTGACTTATTGAATTTATTTATCTCTTTATTTGCAGTGTTTGTAACTTTAAAAAAAAAATCTAAATTTATAAAATTTGTGAGTACCAATTGTTTTTTAATCACATTTCCATACGTTGTATATCATGTAGGGATGTAACGATTAACTGCGAGCCGGTTGAAAATCGATTCAGTTTCATGCAGATATTTTTGATATAGTTTTTGCTTCAAATTTCGAAATTATACAATCTAATTTAGATTAAAAACTGCTCGTGTTGCATGTTTGCATCAAGATTAAAATGCAGTGGTTGCCTCTAAGTTTAAATGTTAAGAGCACAAGACAAAGCCTTAGTTTGTTTATATGAAGAGATTTATTTTATTTGTGTTATTTATTTGATTTGGGGCTTGTTTTAAAATTTCAATGTAGTTTTGTTATTTACATTTACATTATATTTAAATTTTGTAATTTAGCAGATGCTTTTATCCAAAGCGACTTACAAATGAGGACAATAGCAGCAATCAAAACCAACAAAAGAGCAATGATATGCAAGTGCTATATTAGTATATTATTATAGTATTATATTTCAATTTCACAAAGAAATGTGCAGCATTTTGTTCAAGCAATAATAAAAGGACACATTTAATTTATAATTTGTCTTAAATCTCATTTTGTAAAAAAATAATAATAATAATCGTGAATCGAATCATGAAATCAAAATCGTGAATCGAATTGTGAGTTGAGTGAATCGTTACATCCCTAATATCATGATATGCATATTACTGTTGACTATACATTTTTAGGAAGGAATGTGATATGAAATTCACTACTTAGAATTGAACTACTGTAAATTTGGCATAGCTAGTTTAGCCTGTGGTCATATAAACCGGTCTCCGGTATCCTCGTTTAGTTAACTAGTTAAAGTCTGTGTCTTTTTTTAGAGGCAGGTTAACCAGCACAGTTATCTGCTGATGTAATTTGCGGGGATCCCTGGAGTAAAAACAGCGTCTCTGTGTTTAATTTTGGCCTTACACTACATTTGTTAATCTGATTTTCCTCACAACGTGCCAGAATTTCTCATATCCTTGTTTAGAGCGAGAGGTCTTTCTGACTCTCTAAAGGCTGTTTCTGCTACTGTACCTTTAAAATATGTAAATGAGCTCTGTTATGATTGGCCAGTGATGTTTCTGAATTGTGAATATGCTAATTATATAGATGTGGGTGGCCATATGTTAATGAGCTCATTGGTGGCTGTTTAGTTTTGATAACTAATGTTCATAGTGCAACTAGTCAGTGTTATTTTAGTATTATTTCCGTACTGTTATAGTATTTATTAATGTTTTGAGTTTGCTGGTTTTTTTAATGTTTTCATTTTAATTTTTAATAGTGATTTTGTAGTGTGCAAAATATTTGCTTTTATGTAATGTATTCATTTATGTATTATCATAGTATTTATAGAAATTTTGAGTTGGCTTTTATTCGTGTATTTTCAGTTTTCATTTTAATTGTGCAAAATATATATATATATTTTTTTATTAATTGATTCACTTATTTATGTACTACTATAGTATTTATTAATATTTTGAGTTTGCTTTTATTTTAATATTTGTATTTTTCATAAATTTTTAATTAGGCTAGTAATTTTGTTTGTATACTTGTTTTTTAATTATGTATATTATTAATTTAGTTATGTACTCTTTTAGTATGTATTAATATTTTGATTATTTTATAATAGAATTTTCAGTTTTCGTTTTGTTTTTTAATTTTAGTCATTTTGTAATGTGCAATATATTTGTTTGTCTTTTAAATCTATCATTTATGTATGTACTATTAAAATATGAATTCATATTTTGAGTTAGCTTTTTTATTTTTCATTTGAATTAAAAATTCGGCTAGTAATTTTGTTATGTGCAAAATATTTGTATAAATTAATTATGTATATTATTAATTTAGTTATGTACTATTTTAGTATTTATTAATACTTTGAGTGTTTATTTTTTATATGTTCAGTTTTCATTTTTATTTTATTTTATTTTTGTCATTCTGTAATGTGCAATATATTAGTTTGTTTTTAAAATGTATCATTTATGCATGTACTATTAAAATATAATATGTTGAGTTAGCTTTTTTAAATATTTTCATTTTAATGTAATTTTGTAATGTGGAAAATATTGATTGATTGCATTTTTTAAATCAGTTTTAGGTTTAGTAATTTTACTACTTCAACCACAAATTATGTGTTTCTGTTTGTTGCCAAATCTTCAGTTATTTCAGTTATAGAAAATTGTTATAATAGTTTTAGTTAACAACAACAACAACAACAACAGCACTGAACTGGGTGTCGTGAACGTTAGTTTAAATAAACACTTCTACATACTGTAGGTTCTTTTCTTTCTAAACCGCAGGGAAAGTCCTGTTTTGCATTGAAAGCACTTTGAGAGGGTTTTATGGTAATTGAGTTTGTGTTTCAGGCTGAGATCTCCTGCAGCAGATGAGGGAAGATGTTGGCCATGGATCAAGGCGTAGTGGAGGAGTGGCTGTCTGAGTTTAAGGTGCGTGGTCTCTCTCGTGAATCGTGGTCTTCTTCATGGTTTCTCGTGTGCTGACCGTGTTTTCTGCTGTGCTTCAGACTCTTCCAGAGACCGCCGTCTCCAGCTACGCTGCGTCTCTGAAGGACAAGGGCTCTCTGGTTCCTGCACTCTATAAAGTCATTCGGGAGAATTACAGCGACGTAAGATGATCTCTGTTCCTGACTCTTTATTTCTCTCTCATTAGTTTGTGTTTTCAGCTCCCCACGAGCGTCTGGGCGCGGAGGAGGCGTGGCTACTGTCTTCAAAGACCATTTTAAATGCCGACTTTTATCTATAAATAATTATTCTTGTTTTGAACTAGTTATTTTTAATTGAGTTTACATGCCCTGTGTTATGTGCTGTTGTTTACCATCCACCTAAATACAACAAGAATTTTATTCAAGAGTTTTTAGCTGATGTTGTCCCTAAATATGAAAAACTCCTGATTTGTGGGGATTTTAACATCCATGTTTGCTGTCCGTTTGATCAGTTGGCCACTGATTTTAAACGACTCCTGACATCTTTTGATTTATTTTAGGGATGCACGATATATCGGCCACCATATCGGTATCGGCCGATAAATGCTCATTTTTTCTGTTATCATGATTTGTGGGGATTTTAACATCCATGTTTGCTGTCCGTTTGATCAGTTGGCCACTGATTTTAAACGACTCCTGACATCTTTTGATTTATTTCAGTTAGTGGCTCGGCCCACACATCTTATTGGACACACTTTGGACCTTATTATTTCTCATGGGCTCTCTATCTCCCTTACTGAAATATCTGAGACTGCCATCTCAGATCACTTCCCCAGTTTGCATTATTTATGCATTATTTTATTTATTTGTAAGACTTTTTTATGACTAAATTTGGTAATGGGAGAGTAAAAATATTTTTAAAACATACACCGTTCAAACTAGGCTGCTTATGTTGAAGTGTTTGGGATGTGGCTTTTAATGATGAGACCTTTTTTGTAATCAGGCTCTCAAAAAGTATATAACAATTTGGATATAGATTTATCGGCCAACATATCGGTTATCGGCTTTCAAAAATAAAGCATAATCGGTTATCGGTATCGGCCAAAATTTTCATATCGGTGCATCCCTAAATTATTTCAGTTAGTGGATCGGCCCACACATCTTATTGGACACACTTTGGACCTTATTATTTCTCATGGGCTCTCTATCTCCCTTACTGAAATATCTGAGACTGCCATCTCAGATCACTTCCCCCCGGTCCCACCATCAACAGCCAGCAGGTCTCCTGTTTCACCATGTTATCGTCGCGTTCTCACCTCCTCAACAGCTGAAGAGTTTACTGCTGCTTTTATGGACTCTAAACTTTGTGCCCTCCATGAATCTGTCTTTCCTGCAAGCCCTGATGGCCTTTCATCTTTTTACTCCACTTGTTCTGGAATCTTGGACTCTATTGCCCCTTATAAGTGCAGATCTCCTGAGCTAAGAGCAGATCCCTAGATAAATGATGCCACCCGTGCCCTTAGGCAGCGTTGTAGACAGGCAGAGCGGAGATGGAAGAAGGACAAATTACATGTGTCTCTGGAAATATTAAGGGGCTGTCTTTCTGATTATCAGAGGGCTTTGAAGGAGGCAAAGTCGAAATTTTTGTCTAATATTATCACCAATAGTGGGCCATTGTCCCAGGGTGATGTTTAACACAATTAATTCCGTTGTGAACCCACGTACCTGTAGCCAGCAGGTCTCCTGTTTCACCATGTTATCGTCGCGTTCTCACCTCCTCAACAGCTGAAGAGTTTACTGCTGCTTTTATGGACTCTAAACTTTGTGCCCTCCATGAATCTGTCTTTCCTGCAAGCCCTGATGGCCTTTCATCTTTTTACTCCACTTGTTCTGGAATCTTGGACTCTATTGCCCCTTATAAGCGCAGATCTCCTGAGCTAAGAGCAGATCCCTGGATAAATGATGCCACCCGTGCCCTTAGGCAGCGTTGTAGACAGGCAGAGCGGAGATGGAAGAAGGACAAATTACATGAGTCTCTGGAAATATTAAGGGGCTGTCTTTCTGATTATCAGAGGGCTTTGAAGGAGGCAAAGTCGAAATTTTTGTCTTAATATTATCACCAATAGTGGCCATTGTCCCAGGGTGATGTTTAACACAATTAATTCCGTTGTGAACCCACGTACCTGTCCTCTGATTGATGCCTCAGTCTCCGCTTGTGAAAATGTTCTTCACTTTTTTATTAATAAAGTGGAGTCTGTCAGACAACTCACAAGTAAGAGCTCTGGATCTGACTTACCTGTCGCTGCAGCACATTCTGTGGTGTTTGAACCGTTTGAACCGGTTTCACTATCATTCCTTAATGAAGTAGTGCAACATATGAAAATTACAAATTGCCCCTTGGACCTTGTTTCAACCAAATTTCTAAAAGAGGTTTTTACCACTTTGGGGCCTTTTCTGTTGGCTTTCATTAATATACGTCTTAGCTCAGGATCTGTCCCGGCTGCTTTCAAACATGCTCTTCTTAAAAAACCAAATCTGGATCCCTCAGTCTTGTCTAATTTCAGACCATTTTCCCACCTGCCCTTTCTTTTAAAAAGTGTTAGAAAAAGTTGTTTTTATACAATTACATTATTTTTGAGAAATTGCAGTCTGGATTCAGATCTGCACTGTTAAAGGTGCACAACGATATTGCTCGGTTTGTTGATGCCAAGTGCCCTGTTATTCTAGTGCTACTTGATCTCACGGCGCCCTTTGATACAGTGGACCATTAAGTCCTTCTGTCTCGCCTTAATCCCTTTTTGTTGGCATTCGGGGTACCGCACTTCAGTGGTTCTCGTCATATTTGACCAATATAACCTTTTCTGTAGTGATTGGGGACTCCTCCACCACTTCTCTCTTGCGAGGTGCCACAAGGCTCTATTCTCGGGCCTGTTTTATTTTCACTTTACATGCTGCCTCTCGGGTCCATTATAGCCAAGCATAATATAGCTTTTCACTGCTATGCTGATGATTTGCAAATTGATTTGCCTAAAAAATGCTGACGCAGCTGGGTCGCTAATTGATTGCATTTATGACATTAAACTATGGTTCGAGCAAAATTTCCTTCATCTAAATGAAGAAAAGACTGAATATATTTTATTTGGAGAGTCTGTAACTTCTGACTTTGATGCGCTGACTTCAAAGCTTAGACCAACTGTCAGAAATCTCTGTGTGACTTTTGATAGTAGCCTGAAATTTGATAAACAAATTGACACCGTGGTTAAAGCTAGTTTATTTCAGCTACGTCTTTTGGCCAAGGTCAAACTTTTTATTTTTGAAAAGCTCTCACCTTTTTATTGGAAAGCACTTTGGTTCCCCTTGAGTGTTGTAAAGGGCTGTATAAATAAATGTTGATTGATAAAAGGACGATTTGGGCAACAAACAATTTTACTGAATTTGCGCAAGTGTATGAACAAAAACATGAGCTTGAAATTTTGCTCTTGTCTGCCAGCTCTTCATTTTCAAATAGTTACAAAGTTTTCAAGTAGTGCAAATGTGTTTTCTGATCTCATGATCAAACTCCGAGACGTCAGGATTAAAATAACCAGAATATCTCTGTCTATTTCTGTCAGCGCGAGTTATTATAGTATGAGCTTGCTTAAAAGGACGATTTGGGCAACAAACAATTTTACTGAATTTGCGCAAGTGTATGAACAAAAACATGAGCTTGAAATTTTGCTCTTGTCTGGCAGCTCTTCATTTTCAAATAGTTACAAAGTTTTCAAGTAGTGCAAATGTGTTTTCTGATCTCATGATCAAACTCCGAGACGTCAGGATTAAAATAACCAGAATATCTCTGTCTATTTCTGTCAGCGCGAGTTATTATAGTATGAGCTTGTTTCATCATCATAATCATGTGGTCTGTTGCTATGGCAACATAACATCAGTGATGAAAGATGAGGTGTTTTCTGTAGGATGGGTGTGTCTATATACCAGCGAAACCAATGACACACTCACACAAGAATCTCTTAACAACAAACGTTTTACTGTAATCAGTCACATATTTCAGACTTCACAAATGTACTGATAAAGTCTGAAGCTCTTCCATTAGTAATGTGCTTAATGTCATTATCTTCTCTCAGCAAATAGCACTCTAGTATTATGTATACTAGTACTAGTTAACATCAACGAAGTACTCGAGTGTTTCTGCTCCTTTTGCTTTTATTTTAATATGCACATGCAATGTTCACAACAAATTGTGAAAAATAAATAAATAAATATATATATAATATTACTGTATTTCCATGTTTTAATTTTAGCAGTAAATCTCTGTTTTGCAGCACTTTGTTTGCCAAAAATAAAATGAATTTAGTTTTCAGTTAAATACATTTTAAAAGGTTAATTCATTTAATGTTTTATGCCTAGTGGATTATTCAAAAATGAAAACTGAAAACACAGAGTTTGAGAGAAATGAAATGGAATTGGCATAAAAATAAAACGTATTTCATAGGGCCCTGAAAATTTAAACTGTGCTAATTTTTTTAATATATTGTTGTTAAATTGTATAGGTTTCATGATTCCAATTAATTTAAACAAAAAATTGAATTAGAAAATAAATAAATAAAAGGAATCAAGAAAAAATAAAACAAATGTATTCTGTTTTCTATTTAATAAAAAAATATAATACAGAAAAATGTATTTAAAAAAATTGGAAACAATTGAAAGGCCCTAGTTTTATTAAAAATAAGAAATTAAGTTATTATAGTTTTATGAATTCAATTGATTAGACATGCTTTATGATTCATTTTAAATTTTCATTTTAAACAGAAAACGGAATTCTGGAAAAAATAAAATTTAATTAAAAAAATATATTTCATAGGGCCCTGAAATGTAATTAAAAAATAAATAAATAAATTGTTATTAAATTGTAAAAGTTTAATGATTTCAATTAATTAGACATGCTTTTCTGATTACCAAAATTGAATTGAGCCATTAAAACAAAGTCCAGAAAAATTCAAATGGAAAAAAAATGGAATTAAGAAAAATGTGTGGTGGGGGAATGGACGGGGGAATTTGGGAAAAAAATTATGATATAAAATAATAAAAAAATTAAATAAAAAAAAAAGTTGAAATGGAATTCTAAGGGCCCTAAGCATGCCTCGGTGCCTTTGCAGTGTTTTGTGTTTGTTTTTAAGAAGCAAGCGACTCAAAACACATCTCAAAACCTGTTTTCTGTTCTGTTGAACATTTTAAAGCTGTTTTTAACAGAAAAAACAAAATCCTGTAATCCAGTCTGCAAGGCACCGCTGGGAAATCACATCATAACAAATCACAAAGCTACAAACGAGAGCCGTGTTTGCGTGTGGATCTGGCTGGATTGCAGTTGAAGAAGTCATGCAGTGATTGAGAGAGTCAGGAATCCAGACTGTGAGTCTCTTTGGCTCTGTGTAGAAGTGATACGCTGTTTGCTTTCTGAAAGGCGAGCTCTGTCGCAGCGCGTCTCTGAAATCTGTCTTTCTCTCAGTCCTGCAGACGTCTCAACACGGACTGAAGGAGGCCCGCTTTACCGATCAGGGCCCGTATTCACAAAACATTTGATCTTAGCACTAAGAGTCCTCCTAAATAGCAGGAAAAGGTTTTAGCAAAGAGTTTTCACAGAGAATTACTTAAATAATGTGACTTTGGCAGTTTGATATGCTAAGGTGTTGCTATGCAGTTGCTAGGGTTCCTGGGGTGGTTGCTAGGGTGTTGCTATGCGGTTGCTAGGGTGTTGCTATGTGGTTGCTAAGGTGCTCGGGGTGGTTGTTAGGGCAGTTGCTAGGGTACCCAAGATGGTTGCTAGGGCGTTGCTATGTGGTTGCTAGGGTACCTGGGATGGTTGCTAGGGTGTTGCTAGGTTAATCAGGGTGGTTGGCAAGGCAACACCTTAGCAACCACCAAGAACACCCTAGCAACCGCCCAGAACACCCTAACAACTGCCTAGCAGTACTCTGGAAACCACTCATGCCAACCTGGCAAGCACCACTCACTTTTTTTCGTCAGAAAATGTACATGTATATATAGTTTGATATGCGCTCCGAATCACTGTTTAGAAACAAATGATTCACAAAAGTTTTGAAGCTTCACGAAGCAGTGCTTTCAAAAGCCGCCATTACTAATATGAAAAATAATGCGATCGTCGATACGAACCGCATATAAATGAAAACTGCCTAATGTTACAGAGTGAAATGTCAATCCAGAAAGTAGTATATGTCTGTGCAAGCTTTGGGAGTGCTGATGGAAGCCATCTACTGCATCTTTGCTTTGATAATGTTACTGAATATGATCCAGATGTAGTATTTGATAAAAATGTGATTTTCTCAGCTTTTTGCTCACAATGTTGCTTTTTTATGAAACCTACCTACATTCAAGTGTTGATAAAAAAAACAATGCTTGAAGCTAGAAAAGAAAAAAAAAGTTTGTTTGAAAGTAGAGGATCTGATCTTTATATTGATGTATTGCATGTTCAGATATTCATACAACTAAATATTACGGGGGCCATGACATTTTAGTAAAAATCTGCAAAAACGCTGGCGGGGAAAGAGTTAAAAACAGCAGGAAGTTATGACACTTTTTAATAAATGTTCCTGGTTTTATTTTGCAACAGAAAAAGACTGTTTGTTTAAAATCTTTCATCAGAATCTAATAACCCTCAGCACCTGTATTGCATGTTCAGATATTCATACAACTAAATATTACGGGGGCCATGACATTTTAGTGAAAATCTGCAAAAACGCTGGCGGGGAAAGAGTTAAAAACAGCAGGAAATTATGACACTTTTTAATAAATGTTCCTGGTTTTATTTTGCAACAGAAAAAGACTGTTTGTTTAAAATCTTTCATCAGAATCTAATAACCCTCAGCACATGAAGTGAGGTAATCAAGGCTGTTGTAATATGATATGAAATCTTAACCAGTAATATCATAAACCGATCAAATCCCTGTAGATAAAATCAAGTCCCGGTCTTTATCAAGCTGAATGCAAGTATCATTTGGTGTTGAATTAAACCTGCCAACTATCTGCCTTATTGTTTTTGTAAAGCCATGTAATGTCAGTCAGTATTAAACTGGTTTGACCTGATATTCCCAAACGGTTTTTGTCAGCCGAACACCTTTGACCTAAAAGATTTACTTGCAGTATCGCTTGGATATAAGTTAATATGTCAATAATTTAACAATACGGTTGCATGTTTACAATTCTGTGATGGCACATGCAGATAAATAAAGTGATTTTTTTTTAGTAATTGTTTAATTTTGATGTTTGTGAGGTGCAGATTTTTTATAATAATAATTTTTACATGTAGTTTTTATATAATATAAAGTGTAAATATACAGTGATATAAAGAGTTTTTATTTTTTTATTATTTATTGTAATTTTTGTGATTTTATTTATTTTTAATTTTTTAACATGTTTTCTCACATACCCCAGTTTGAGAATTAGCCCTGGTTTAGTGATTTCTTTAATTTTAATTTGAGTATTTAAATATATAATTTAAAAAGATTTTATTTATTTATTTTACATTTTAGACATTTTATCTAAAATAAAATAAAATAATTTAAGTATTTAAATTTATATAATAAAAAAAAATTTTTTTTAATCTTTTTTACATTTTAGGGGAAACGATTTTGTAATTTGTAAATCTGTTTTAGATACTTTGTAAAATAAATTATATTTAAGTATTTAAATTGATAATATCTTATTTTACTTTTTTATTTTAGGGGAAATGTTTGTTTAATTTGTAATTTTTTTAAATATAAAATATAATTATATTTAATTGTATAAATAATTATAAAATTATATATTCTAATTATATAATTGTGTGTGTGTGTGAATATATATATCTATGTGTCTGTGTGTGTGTGTGTGTATATATATATATGTATATATATATATATACATACATACATACATACAGGTGCATCTCAAAAAATTTGAATATTATGAAAAAGTTCAATTGTTTTTGTAACTTATTTCAAAAAGTGAAACCTGCTATCATATGCTTCATTCTACTGGTCATCTTCAGCGTGCGCAGCTCAAAACAGAAATGCAGGACATTAATAACTGCTGTCATATACATAACGTTATAATGAGAGCACTATTGTAAAAAGTGTTGTGAATTCTTAGGGTTTCACTGACGTTTAATGTTAACGTTAATGTTAATGTTAACTACTGTCGCTTACTGATTGTTTGGAATTATAAATATGAGCATAGTTCGTCTGTTAATATCACATGCACTTTTGTGTTTGCTGTTTTTTTTAGTTTGTTACTCAGACGCAGGCAGTGCGCTGCACGAGACAAAAAAGTAATCTAGCCAAAACAACCA